TATTGGGCTGGTGGGCTCCTCCTCCTCCTCGTCAGGGGTCAGGCTCGCCACGGTGCACTCCTGTACCGACCCTCGGAGCTGCGCGCGTTCGCTGGAGAGCTCCTCACACTCAAGTGCTCGCTCGACTAGGGTATCGAAGGGGAGGCCTGTGCTACCCCTTTTGGGCTGCCACCACGCGGTGCGAGCTAGGTACCTGAGTAGCTTGTCTGCAGCTAGCGCGTCAATGACCTCCTTCGCGAACTCTGGACGGGCGATCCGGGTTAGTGATCGCACGTCCTCGGCGTAGTCTCGAAAGTCCTCGCCGGGTTGGCGTCGGTGCGCCTCTAAGGCCGTCTTTGCCCGTATCGCGTTGCGCGTGCCGAAACGCAGGTCTAATCTACGCATTAGTTATTCTAGTTGGGTTTGCGCGCTTTCGGGTAGTGCCTCTACAAAGTCGGCTGCCCGCCCATCTAAGTTCAACGTAAGTTGTCGTAACGCCTGCGCGTCCGACCAGCCATTAAGCTCTTTAGCCCCTATGATATTGCGGGAAAACGCTTTCAATGTAGGGGTCCCCTGGCCGGGGAACACATGCCTTACCTTTGCGTGGAGTAGCGCGCCACCTTCCCGTGAAGATGTGAGGGTTCGTACGACTTCTGACACCAAATTGTTGGGTCCGCTGGTCCCCGAAGTCCCTCCCTGCTCCCTGCCTATGGCAGGGGCTCCGCCGTTCGCCGACCCCTCGCTACTCTGCGAGCAGCTGCTGCCGTCACTGGGCTCATCGCCCGACGGCTCCCCTCCCAGGTCCGTCCCTCCGCGAGCTCGTGTGAGAGGCATAGCTCGTCGCACGCTCTCGTTCACCTGCAAACGCTGTGTTGTCTTGTTAGGTGCCCACGGCGGTTCGTTGATCCCGTACTCGCAGCGTACCTCGATGCGTCTCACGGACGTTCGGGTTGCTGGGCTGGAGCTGCGTCTTGTCGCCTGGCGCTGGAGTAAAAGAGCCCGATCTCTCCTTTGCCCTCCTTTTTATCCTCCCTACATCAAAGGGATGTGGCTCCGAGCGGGATGGCGGCCCTCAGCTTTTCCTTGACAATGGGCTGGCGCCCTCTAGCACGCGCACCGCGGTTCCGGGCGCCTGTGATATGCTAATCAATGTGCGGCGTTGCGCGGCGCAAATTCTAATTAATCCCTTTCTCACGCATGCCTTTATTATTGCAGATTATGCGGCGGCGTCCATCACAAAGGCTCGCCGTGGGAATCTGTGTACGGGCTCCCCGCGTGCCTCCCTTCTCCCGATCTATTCATACTTTCAGCTTAATCCTATACCCTCCCTAACAATGGTGCCTGCGCGCTCAAGCGTAATTATCCTAACCATCCGTGACTATGCGTAAGAGCCCCTGCGGTCCCGCTACTCATGCTGTCCCGTCCCTCCCCTGCTTGCCTCGTCGACACGTGGGGGGTGTTAGTGGGGGATGTGTTTCAACCGTGGTGGCCGAATGCCCTTCGCCGCGGCCATACCATCTTAAGGCGGTCGCAGCGCCGCGGTGCAAAGTAGCGTCGGGGGAGGTCGTCCAATTCCCTGATCGCCGGAAACCGTGAGAGTTAATCCCGATAAGGGTTTCTCGGATAAAAACCAGTCGATTAGGTGAGCTCCCCTTCCAGCTCTATGGGGGGGGGGGGGGGGGGGGATGCGTGCGGGTGTGTTCATGTGAGGTGAGGTGAGGGGGACGAAGGGTTGGCTCCGTCGCTTGGTGGTGGCGAGGTCGGGGATGGGGCGCCTGCCGAATGGCTTGGTGGCGGCGGCATCACAGGTTCTCAATAGTCATAGCCACAACCACTACTAACAACAACAATCTCACAATACCAATACCCGCTATTCGCCATGAAGTGACGGTGACGTCACCACGGCGCCTGTGCCAGGCCAGGTGCACTTTGGGGCCACGTGAAGTGTTGAAGGCTCGCTGACCACCCAGGTGCCATGGATTGGCTGACTGAGATGACCGGTAGATGCACTAGTTGTACCCCCTACTGTGCCAAGTTGCTGTATCTTAGTCGCCCGGTGCTCCACTCATTGTGAGTGTAGCTCCTCTGCCCTAAGTTGTTGTTGGATGGCGATTGCCTCCAACTGCCCAGTAGCATCCTTCACGAGCCTCCTAGACAGAGGCCGATCTTGACACCTCTGGTGCCAGTCTTAGGCAAGTCCACTCAGCTCCACACCCCCCCCCCGTATCGCATCAGTCCATCTGTTCTCCAGCCCATGTCATGCCCGTTCAGCCCCCCTCTATGCAGCCAAACAAGCTGATTGGGCATGCGATGTCTGGACATGCGGACTACATGACCCAGCCAACGCAGGCTTGCCTGTCGGAGGCGCTCACTGCTGGGAATGTGTCCAGATCTTGAAAGGATTTGTGAGCTCGCATAATCCAGTCTGGTTAAACCACACGCGGATGGATCGTAGGCAGGCCAGGCTGAATGTTTCTCACCAGTGCAGATGTTCCATGAAAGGGGTCTACAAGCATAGAGAAGGGAGGGCATGACTATGGCCGAGAAGACCCGAAGCTTCGTACGGAGGAACATACCAGGTAGCTTCCAATCTCACAACCACCACCAGTCTCATCACCACCACCATCAATCTCATCATCGTCAACAAATAATCGCCGTTGCATATTGAAGCATCGTAGCTCAGCACGTGTGTGTGCACGTCTGTAAACACACGCAGGGAATTTATTTTTGTTGAACTTGTGACGGTCGTGTGTGAGTGTGTGTTGGTGAGGCTGTGACGGTCGTGTGTGAGTGTGAGTGAGTGGTGGTGAGGCTGTGATGTTCGTGTTGTGTGTGTGAGTGTGTGGTGGTGGGTGAGGCTGTGATGGTCGTGTTGTGTGTGTGAGTGTGTGGTGGTGGTGAGGCTGTGATGGTCGTGTTGTGTGTGTGTGTGTGGTGGTGGTAAGGCTGTGATGGTCGTGTTGTGTGTGTGTGAGTGTGTGCTGGTGGTGAGGCTGTGATGGTCGTGTTGTGTGTGTGAGTGTGTGGTGGTGGTGAGGCTGTGATTGCCGTGTTGTGTGTGTGAGCGTGGTGGGGAGACTGTGATGGTCGTGTTGTGTGTGAGTGAGTGGTGGCGAGGCTGTGATGGTCGTGTTGTGTGTGTGAGTGTGTGGTGGTGGTGAGGCTGTGATGGTCGTGTTGTGTGTGTGACTGTGTGGTGGTGGTGAGGCTGTGATGGTCGTGTTGTGTGTGTGAGTGTGTGGTGGTGGTGAGGCTGTGATGGTGGTGTTGTGTGTGAGTGTGGTAGTGCGGCTGTGATGGTCGTGTTGTGTGTGAGTGTGTGGTGGTGAGGCTGTGATGGTCGTGTTGTGTGTGAGTGTGTGGTGGTGAGGCTGTGATGGTCGTGTTGTGTGTGAGTGTGTGGTGGTGAGGCTGTGATGGTCGTGTTGTGTGTGAGTGTGTGGTGGTGAGGCTGTGATGGTCGTGTTGTGTGTGAGTGTGTGGTGGTGAGGCTGTGATGGTCGTGTTGTGTGTGAGTGTGTGGTGGTGAGGCTGTGATGGTCGTGTTGTGTGTGAGTGTGTGGTGGTGAGGCTGTGATGGTCGTGTTGTGTGTGTGTGTGGTGGTGGTGGTGGTGAGGCTGTGACGGTCGTGTGTGAGTGGTGGTGAGGCTGTGATGGTCGTGTTGTGTGTGTGAGTGTGTGGTGGTGGTGAGGCTGTGATGGTCGTGTTGTGTGTGTGTGAGTGTGTGGTGGTGATGAGGCTGTGATGGTCGTGTTGTGTGTGTGAGTGTGTGGTGGTGGTGAGGCTGTGATGGTCGTGTTGTGTGTGTGAGTGTGTGGTGGTGAGGCTGTGATGGTCGTGTTGTGTGTGTGAGTGTGTGGTGGTGAGGCTTTGATGGTCGTGTTGTGTGCGTGAGTGTGTGGTGGTGAGGCTGTAATTGTCGTGTTGTGTGTGAGTGTGTGGTGGTGAGGCTGTGATGGTCGTGTTGTGTGTGAGTGTGTGGTGGTGAGGCTGTGATGGTGGTGTTGTGTGTGAGTGTGGTGGTGAAGCTGTGATGGTGGTGTTGTGTGTGAGTGTGGTGGTGAGGCTGTGATGGTCGTGTTGTATGTGAGTGTGTGGTGGTGAGACTGTGATGGTCGTGTTGTGTGTGCACAGACTGTAACAACTACAGGGGCATCTCACTTCTCAGTGTGCCGGGAAAGGTCCTGGCAAGGATTATTCAACATCGCCTTGCTAGGCACGCTGAGGAGAGGCTTGTGGAGCCCCATTGCGGTTTCAGGAAAGGGCGGTCCTGCACAGATTTCATATTTTCTGTCTGTCTACTACAGCAGAGGTGTAGGGAATTCCAACAAGACCTACATCTCTGCTTTATTGACCTGGTCAAGGCCTATGATACCATCAGTAGGCCTGGGCTCTGGGTTGTTCTTCGTGCGTTCAGAGTACCTGACCCTCTGCTCACGATCATTAAGGACCTTCATGATGGTGAGCGGGCCCGGGTAAAACTACGTGGCGGGTTGTTGTGTGGGTTTAACCAGGCTGTTGTGTGTGAGTGTGGTGGTGAGGCTGTGATGGTCGTGTTGTGTGTGAGTGTGTGGTGGTGAGGCTGTGATGGTCGTGTTGTGTGTGTCTGGTGGCCAGGCTGTGATTGTTATGTTGAGTGTGAGTGTGTGGAGCAGTGGTGTAGCGGTTAGCGTGCTGCGCTATGAACCTGGCAACACGAGTTCGATTCCCGCTCACGTCCAACACCGGTGACGATTGTCTGAACCGGTCTTGGGCCTCGCCTAGGTCGACTCAGCCTCAAATTAGTACTTGGTGCAGTGCGTAAACATTGCCACTAAGGAGACAAAGGCGGCCGGGAATGGTGTTGATCGGGAATGGTGTTGGCCACCCACCCCCTCGTATGCCGTGTTCGCCTTCATAGGTGATTGCTAAAAATACTTTCCCCAACAGTCTGTTCAGGCTATATATGGGGGATCTTTGTTTTTTGATGGCCGGGCTGTGATGGCCGTGTTGTGGACTGGTCATGTGGTGGTCGCTCAGGACGAAACCTATACGGCCAAACTCGGCTCTCGCTTCCCCATCAAGTGGACGGCACCCGAGGCAATCAACTACAACAAGTTCACGAGCAGGTCGGACGTGTGGTCCTACGGGATCCTGCTCCATGAGATCTTCACCTACGGGGAGGAGCCCTACCCCGGTGAGCACTCACCTTCTTACTCACTCCTCTACTTGTTCAATCACTCTCTCATTCACCTACGAACTCACGTGGATACTCGCACATTCACTCACCTGGTTACTCACTCACTTGCCTAGCTACTTATTCACTTCCAAGGATACTCACTCACTAGCCTCGTTACAAACGCATTCACCTGCATGCACAGTCACTCACTCACTCACGTGCCTGCACACTCACTCACCTAGCTACACCATAACACACTCACCTGGCTACACACTCACTGTCATCTCAATTTGCTTGATGATGTGCATGGCAGGTCACTGATCTATATAAATGTTACTTAGTGGCGGTGCTCGTACTGGGCATTGAGGGAGGCCATCGAGTAGGTGAAGAGTGACAGCAGGCCGTGGCACCAAACGGTGTTATGGGCAGCAGAGAGGTCACCAGTTGCTGTGCCGGTTTTCTGTTGACTCCGGAGACCAGGCAATGATCAGACTGCACCAGCTACGGCTAGTTTGAAATCCCGCTCGGTTGGGAGGCAATTGAGCGTCGATAATGGGGGAGAGTCTGGCACGGCACGTTCCGCCAGCTTGGAGGTGGAGGACACGAGGGATGATAGTGATCTGCAGCTGGAGTCTTGCGGCTTTCTGGGTTTCAGAATGGCAATGACTTGGCTTGCTTCCATGCTACCTATGTATGATGGTGAAAATTATTTGCAAGCCATTATTGTCCATACAGTCAGGTTCTTTAGCAACTCAAGACACGCAGGGCATCATATCCCCGGTGCCTTGGTGGGCTTTGTGGCCCTGAGGGCTGCTTTCACTTTCAGCGACGGTGGTGTGGCCCCGTCAGATCTCTTGCTGGCGGTCGTTGGCTCAAGGTGATGGGGAGTGGTTTCGTGGCAGCATGTGTGTGGCGAGCTTGTCCACTGCCCTTACTTGAGCAGCATAGCAGTGTGAGAATTCCGCAGCATTCATTGCGGTTGTTGGCGCTCTGCGCTCTGTTGGCTTTGAGGCACCCCAGGAGTTCCGGGGGACCTGCCAGGTATTACGGCCGGAGTGAGTGAAGTCTACGGTGACATGATAATTGGTTCTTTACCCTTCTATCTGGCAACAAAACTGACACCTTGTTGCCAGATAGAAGGGTAAAGAACCAATTATCATATTTTTACTGGCAAATGAGGTCCCCATAGTCTACGGTGACAGTTCTGATGAGCTCTTTCAAGAGTTCTGGTTGTCAACATGACGCTGTAGCTTTTCCGATGCCCATGTTTATGAATTAATAAAAAATGTCAGGCTTGGGCTCCAGGTCCTTCAATTGAGCATCGGTTACTTTTTCGTAGCCGGGCCATTTGGTCTTCTGAAAGTTCCAATTCAGCCATGTAGTGTCTGAAGTTACGACCGGTATCAAGAATCCGACAGTGCATGACTGCCAGTTTGTGTTGGCTTTTTGGAAAAACTATAATTTCGCTGGCCTATGGCCACATTCTAACTTCTCTGAAGGGCTTCTTGGCGCTTCGCGCCTCGCCTGTCGCCCCCACTGATGTCCTCTTCTTACTCCCCCCCCCCATGTGTGCAGATCATACTGACTATATTGTATGTAGGGTGTGTAGGCAAATATGCCTACAAAAACATTTCATTTTAGGGGGGGGGGGGGTGGGGATTGAATTGAATTTTTACCCCCACATCTCTGAGAGAGGGGGAGGGGTGGGTTCACTTTCTATAACTTTTTGATCCATGCCTTTTGAAAGGCTTTAATAATATAGTTGATCGCTAAATGGAATGCCGGGCTTTTATAATAGACTAGCAGGGAGTACCTGGCTTTGCCCGTGGAAAAATTCTTTCAAAACTTGTCTTCTCTTAATTAACATAACATATACATATATAGTGTTATACAGACGGACTCTTCAACGTCTTTTGTAGCACACACTTTTATTCGTCTTATGAACACAGTCCCTATGCACTGAGGGGTATACGGTCCCCTCATCCGTTACACTCAGAACGTACAAGTCTCCGCACCCTACAGGCTACTTAATATCCCGCTCTTTCAATGTCCTCTGACTGGACCTAGGGGATGTCTCCCCGACCACTGGTTACACTGAACCCTAGCCCTTATAAGGGCTGGAGGCCTTGGTCCAGGGTCCTAGGCTTCTTCCGCCGTCTTGGGTCTTCGTGTAGTCGAACTCTCCCAGAGCTCTGAGCGCTCTGGCTTTATACTTGTTCGTGGCCGGGTTATCCAATCCCCGGCCACCTTGTGGAACCCTGTGATTGGTCGTTCCCAATCTGCTTTTGGATCCCAATTCACCCTATCTGACCCTGACCGTTTGGTCGCGCGGGAAAACCTTGTTTACGGTCAGCTTTCACAGCTTGTGAGACCCTGACCGTTAGTTTGAGCGGGAAAACCTTGTCAACGATTAGCGCTCCCAGTTTGTGAACATCGAGTAGTTAACTCTACTACATCACCCTCCCCTTCGGAAGCCTCAGCCGTCCCGGCTGTTACAAGCAGAAAATCCCCATCAATGAATCAAAGTGTGTGTGCCACAACCAACAAGAACAGGAACACCCAACAAGAACAGGAACACCCACTATAAATACCCCCCCCCCCCCATCAACAACGCAACATATGTACATGGTCAGAACCAATCACAACGACATTCGCGACGCACAACGCATGCAGCATTCAGCTGCCGCAAAAAAAAAAGATGGGCAATCAAGAAAACTGACGCGATCTAGCCCGTGTGTATTTCGTGGGTCCGTCGTAGGGGATGGGTGCCCTTTTCCGGGCTGCAGGCTGACCAGGCATCCTGGCAAAAATGTCAGCAGGGGCAGGAGGCCTCTCTGCGGAGACCCTTGGAGCAGATGGGTCGGGCAGCCTGGCAAACATGTTGGGCGGGTCAGGCATCCTGGCAAACATGTTGGGTGGGTCAGAAGGTCTCTTTGCAGAGACTCTTGGTGTAGACGGGTCAGGCATCCTGGCAAACATGTTAGGTGGGTCGGGCATCCTGGCAAACATGTTGGGTGGGCCCAGAGGCCTTTTTGCAGAGACTCGTGACTCGCCCGGCTCCCTCAGTCCCGCATCATCTGCGGGAGGAATGACACGTCTGCGCTGTGGGTTAGGTACTAACGGGGCGACATCCTGCTCGTCGGGCATATCACACGCTCGGCCCTCGTGTTTTGAGTGTGACGCAGAGCCGCGCGGAGCAACAAATGGCTTCAGATGAGAGGGGTGCACGAACCAGCAACGTCGTCCACAATAGATTTTAACACATTGTGGGCGCATTATCTCGACCACCTCAACCGGACCCCGCCATGGTTTAAGGAGTTTAGCCGATGTGGACACCAGCACCTGGGGGCAATGAAGCCACGCCATATCACCTGGAGCCCACTGATGCACGGACGTGCGAGGGGCTTGCAACCTTGAATTAGCCCGCTGGTGGGAGGCGGAATTTTTGATCGCCGCATCACGAGCCTCAGACAGCTTTTGTAGGTTGAACCGCAAATGGTCAGTGAGCTTCGATGACCGTGGAAGCTGCTCTATCCCAAGCCGCACGTCAGCGGGGGGAATGGCCTCCCTGCCATACATTAGGAAAAATGGGGAGAACCCTGTCGCTGCATGTGACGCCATGCGGTAAGCAGCGAGGACCCCTGGGATCTGCAGGTCCCAGTCTACGTGGGATTCGTCAACCTGATGGCATAGCATAGAGGTGAGGGTTCTATGCAACCGCTCCACCATGCCATCTGTTTGGGGGTGATAGGGCGAAGTGCGCACCTTCTTAGTGCCCAACAGGCGGCATACCTCACTCAGCAGGGTACTTGAAAAATGTCTTCGCTGATCGGTCAGCAACCGTTCTGGAGCGCCCTTGTCCAGCACATAGCCTTGAACAAAGGCGTCCACCACGGCTGCTGCCGACTGGTTGGGGAGGGCCCAGGCCATAGGCCACCGTGTAAAATACTCCACCCCAACCAGAAGGTACTTGTTACCACGAGGCGTTGTAGGAAAAGGCCCCAAAATGTCGAGAGCAACCAGCTCGTTCACACGGGATACCGTGATGGGCTGCAGCGGTGGGCATGCCGGCTTCGCTGGAGGTTTACGTTGCGCACATTGGGTGCAGCCCGTTAAAATATCAGTTACGATGCGAAGCATGCCCGGCCAGTAAAATTGTAATCTTAGCAACCCAATGGTTTTATGCACACCCAGGTGCGACAATCGCTCGTGTGCCGCGCACACAGCCGAACACCGCAAAGCCGATGGCACTACAATTTTGTACTGGCAAGAATCAGCATTCCAATGCATGAGCAGACCGTGGCGCATGGCAAAAGAGTTCGATTTACTTGAACGTGAGGACAAATCACATGCGCGACGACGCAGAGGCAACAATGATGCATCGTTCATTTGGTGCTGACCCCATTCGTCCAACGTTATCCCCAGCAAGTCGTCACTTGCTGGCGGATTTTCGTGGTCCGCACCCGGCGCAGGATCGGAAGGAAGGGCAGCAGAAACGGTTTCAGGAGGTGCAACCGGGCGTACTATTTGCAGTTTGCACCGGCCAGAACCCGTGAAACAGGCGCATTGTTCTGACGGGAGGCGAGATAGCGCGTCCGCATTACTGTGCTGTGTACCCTTATGGTAAATCACCATAAATTGTAGTCCTGGAGGACTTCAAGCCATCGGGAGAGCTGGCCAGACGGTTGGTCAATGCGCAAAGCGTATTGTAACGCAGAGTGATCGGAGCGCACGGTAAACCGTTGACCGTACAGGTATGGACTGTATTTTTGTATAAAGTAAACAATGGCCAGCAGCTCGCATCGGGTTACGCAATAACGTTGCTCTGCAGGGGACAAAACCCTGCTTCCATAGGCAACCACCCTCTCAACGCCATCAACGATTTGGGACAGCACCCTGCCGATCCCGGTGTTACTGGCATCGGTGTCCAGAATAAATGGCTTTGCGAAATCGGGGTAAGCCAGGGGCAGTGCTGCTGCAAGAGCATTCCATAAGGAGTCAAATGCGGCCTGTTCCGC